TGCCTCCTGCATACCCCCTACTGGGGATCGACCCTGGAACCCAGGTAAGTGCCCTTGGCCAGGATCAAACCTGGGACCCTTCAGTCTGCAAGTTGACACTCTATCTTATTTTGATTACAAAATCCACATTATCCTATATACCTAGTATAACAAAGGAAAAGGAAACTCAAATGCCCTGTGGCAGGATCACACCGCACAGATCCACTTTCAGAACCACCAGAAAGATTCCATTTGCAGGATGAATGGGCTCCCTGAAGTCAGGGACCATGTTATTGTTACCCCTGTTTTCACAGGCATGGCACTGAGTGGGTACCAGTGATTGCTGAATGAGTGAGTGAGGGTCTTGGCTCTTTCTCCACCCCTGGGCCCTGGATCTCGGGTGCCCTGTCACAATCCATGCCCAGAAGTGATCATATACAACTGTGCCCATTGCCAAAACCTGGGACCTCTGGCCCTGACCTCCCTGCCATGTCCTGACCTGCCACTGTTCTTCAGTCTCCTATCTATCTGGTGCCCAGGGTGACCTCTGTCCTCAATTCTCAGCCATGCCTACTCTCTTAGCTTCACTATTCCCACAGCTCTGGGTGTTAACCTGTCTGCTATCAGACAAGAGAACAAAAGCTGGGCCAGCATCTCCTCTCTGGCCTCTGTGCACAATTTTCAATCTGATCTGTTCACTCTTCTTTTTCATAACAGCCTCCTGGTTTCCTTCCCAGGAGCCACCCCTCCTTCACCTCTTAGGTATGTGTCTCAGGCGGGGCCTGCCCATGGTACACAGACACTTGGCACAATGTTTGGTTCTGAGGTGGGGGTATGCTTATAATTGTTCATTTATGCTTATAATTGTTCAAAGTTGGTTTAATGAGTGAATCCCATGCTTTGTGTGGAAATCACCAGCAAATGACACTTACTTTTCTGCTGGTCTCACACCTGAAGGGATGTAGTCTGAGGCCACTGCCACCAGAAGGGAGAGCCTGCCTGAGAATGGCACCGGTAGAGGAGGGAAAGCCAAGAAATGTAGCAAAAAACTGGGCCTGATTGACATGACTTGATACCTGGATCAAACCATACATGAAGCCAACATTTTTTCTTCTGGGTTTTATGTCTCTGCAACCCAAAGAACCCTAACTGACAAATTCCAAGTATAGGTCCTGCTAGTGGTCTCTGAGCTGGGCTGGCTCCTGACACCCCAATACTAGATTCTAGAATCTGTGCTTCATCCTCTCTACCCACTGCCTCCACCAACTTGCCTCTCAGCAGTTAAATATTTGGGGGCCTGGGGACTATGCTTGCTTTCTCTCTGTGAATAGTCTGTGTGCGTCTGTGAGTGTGTGCTGGCGCATGTGTAATTTTTTGGCCACACCATTTGAAAGCAAGTGTCAGACTCCATGGTACTTCACCCCTAAAACACTTTAGTGGGTACCTCTTAGGAATGAAGATAAATCCCTAACAACCATAATGTTAACAATACTTCTATCATATCATCTAACATCCTAGTCCATCTTCACATCTTCCAAGTTCCCCAAGAATGTCTTAAAAAATCCAAATTAAGTTCATTCTCTGCATTGGTTATGTAGCTTAGTTTCTTTTACAGCTAAAAGCCTTGCTTTATTTGATATAAGCGAGGGACGGCAGGCCTTTCCTCCCAACAACTGCTCTCTCCCTGGCTCCCATCCTCCCTGGCTGCCCCATCCTGGGAGCATAGGGGTGCCCCAATTCTCCCTGCTCCCTTTCCCACCCCTCCTCTCCTGGGGTCTATATGTTTAGACTGTAGGAGCTCATGAAAACACAATGTAAAATGAGAGAGGCTCTAAATTCCTATAATACAAAGATGTTCCCACTTGAAGGATCTTTATTTATGGAAAGAGATTTTGAAGTAGTTTTTGGCTACTAATGGAATATTCATTCTCCTTCAAATGAACAGAATTATGAGCTTAGCAACTGAAACCAAACAAAAAAGACCTTGCTGGACACACAGCAAGTACCTTATAATCAATCACTTATTAATCAATCTAAAAATCCACATCAGCCGAAACTGGTTTGGCTCAGTGGATAGAGCGTCATTCTGCGGACTGCAAGGTCCCAGGTTCGATTCCGGTCAAGGGCATGTACCTTGGTTGCAGGCACATCCCTGGTGGGGGGTGTGCAAGAGGCAGCTGGTCGATGTTTCTCTCTCATCGACGTTTCTAGCTCTCTATCCCTCTCTCCTCCTCTCTGTAGAAAATCAATACAATATATTTAAAAAAATAAATAAAAATCCACATCAATAATAAAATCCTAAGATGTTTACTGATTGTCAAGCCCTGCAGTGAACTTCCCAGAGGCTCATATTCTTACGGGAGATGACAAGCACTAAAGCAATAATTACAAGGCTGTGTGAGACTCAGAGTATGTGCCAAGTTCCGGGGCTCTGCAGAGACAGGGGCACCCAGCTTCTCCCTGAAGCCTCTGCCTGGCAAGGGTGCTGCCAGGGGACTGTACCACTGAGCTAGTGATGTGACCCTGAACTCTAGTTTTGTGACCATAAAATGCCGGTAATGATCCCCTCCTCGAAAGACTACAGCAGAGGGGACACATGATTCCAGAGGAGAATGTATACTGTTGGGGCTGAGTGTTTAGGTGATACATGGATAGACACTTAGAAAAAATTTTTATATACCTTAGAAAAAACTTGGACTAGTATATCAACCCTATGATTTTTACCAACATCATCACAGAGGAAGCTAAAGTATAGATGTTGAGTCTGAGTCTGTTTAAAGAAAAATAGCAAATAAAAAAATAATGCAGATGGTAGGAAAGTATGGCAAAATTTCTGAAGTGGAGCCCAAAAGATGGTTCTTTGAGAAGAATGTCAAGCCCCTGAAATTCATGCCTGCCAGTAGCAGGTGCTCTTGAAACGCTGTCTGTTCCGGTCAACGGCCCATCAAACCAGGGGAAGGACCTAACGACAGCCTTGCTGGGGGCAAAGCTGGAAAGAGTTAAAAGAAAGGGTCTGCGTTTCCGGCCCATCCCCCCAGCAGCTAATCTGTCAGCTAATGAAGAAGCAGTGGCGGCACAAGTGAGCTAGCAGGCAGTTCACTTACAGCAAACTGATTAGGAATGTTCAACCAACAGCAGACTGTGGACCTTTCCAGAGAAAATAAATAGAGTGTAGACTGTATGCAAATGTGTTTGTCACTTTGACAGCACGTCTCAATTAAGGCATCTCGCGGCTGCGGGTAGGCTCTGCGGCTGCAGCTGTAAGGGAGAGCCCGCTGCATGGCTGATACTCGGGGCTTGACCTTAATCCGCATGCATGCATTAAAAAAACCCCTGCCTTCCTGTACACTTGCATAATGCTGGCAGCCACGTGAGGGAGGTGACAAACGGGGAAAAAAGCCACTTTCATCCTCTCCAGTTTACAGACCTGTGAAGGCACAGACAGCTCTTATTTCAACAGAGTTTGGGGTGGCTTTTTTAATTGTTTGTCCCCCACCCGCACACATACACACGCTCTTATTCTGCATTTAGCTGGGAATGACATGAAAGCATCTCTCCTTCTTCCTGAAATGGAAAGAAGGTCTCTCTCCATTTCAAACAGGGCCTCCTTTTTGTGTTTCGAAAATGGAATGTTTAACACCATGAAATCCCTCTCCCCCGCCCCCTCTTTCTCTGTAATGGGCTCCAAACTCCAGCAAGGGGCTCTTTTCATGGGAAGGTTCGCGTGTGCAGGAATGAGGACAAAGGAAGGCAGGAAGCTGGCTCTGGAATGCCACGCTGGCGACAACGGCCGCTTTCAGCAAACCCAGCCGGGGAACGGGGGCCTGAGCTGCGATGAGGCGGCTCTTCAGGGGTGCACACATCAACGAAATTTGGAGAGAATTATTAAGCAAATGCGCCCTGCCCCATGGACACTTCTTTCTTAGGCTATATTTAAATTTTTATAATATCTCTTTTAAGTGTAAAATCAGAAAAGGAGTGGCGAGCCTCTCCAAGTTGAAGATATATGAACATATTATCTAAAAACACTGATCACAGAGGAAGATTCTTATGTTTTAACAAATTCACACCTTACAATCATAACCCACAGAAACAATTAGTTCCCTTCATTTCTAAATTGCTCTATGCCAGGTACACTTGATAAATGTCTGTTAAAAACAAACATTTTAAATGTGTGATTCTAGCTCCTTTATGTGATAAAACAGCAATCATATTAAAAATAAAACCATAGAGACTATTTAAATTATGCCTCATCTAATCAATGGCTAAAGAATAGGGTGATTTAAAATTAAATAACTTTGCAGATTCTTATTACAGTCATATCTTGTTAATGGAGCCGTTTCTTAGAAACCAAAAAATTATGACTTTTGCTAATCAAGAGTAGTAGAGGGTACGTAATATTTTTCAACCAAACATATAAGCACCGATAAGATATGGATAAAACAAATTTCAGTTCCTTAATGTTTTACTTAAGAGAAAGAAAAAAAAAATCACACAAATTTCCAAATGCTCACTCAAGCCGTTGAAATGGTTGGCTACAGAATCCAGCCCTTGGAACAGCAGCATGGCGTTAGCTGTGAGAAGAAGGACTCCCGATATTGATTTTCAGGAAGTACATTAATAAAGAACTCCTAATTGATTTTTTTTAAGACTTCGCTTGTTGCCTTTCATTTGAAGGTGCAAAGAAGGGCCTGAGATGCTAAAGTGTTCTAATGAGATGCTTAGCTGACAGAGGCACCTTAATAGGAGTGCCTAGGGGTGGGAGGCGGCAGCTGCATTTAATGACTTCATTCCAGAGTTCAGCGAGTTTATGACCAGAGCCATGCTGTCTCCTCAAAGTTTTTGAAAATCTCCCTTCAAAACATGTTTGCCCCAAATAAACACTGGGAGATGTGCAAACTCCATGGGACTGTTTTACCAAAGAGAGCCGAAACGCAAAAGCACCGGCTGTATGCGCCACAGCTTCTGCTAAAAAGCAAAGCAAAGCAAACCCAGACCAGTCAGAGGGCCAAGGTACATACCTGTCCGAAGTGGACTGTGATCGGCCTTCGGTCTTCTCGGAGCTTGGGGTCCTTGGCCTCCACCAGTGGGGACGGCACAGTCTTTGGTGGCTGCTCTTCCAAAGTGGGGGCACAGCCATTCTCGGTGATGTCCTGCAGGGAGAAGCCAGCCAGGAATTGGTGACAGGGTCTTGGCACCTGTCCTGAGCACAGGTGCTCCCTCCAACCTCAAGGCTCAGAGCCAGGCCCCGGGACTCCCTCTGGGTCACTTAGAGCCCATCCTCCTGCTAGAGATGAGGGAATTGGAAGGCTAACTTGGCTGTTTGATTTTTAAGGGCTAGAGAAACCCAAACCATGGACATTAAATTACAAAGACAACATAATAATTCACAATACTGCGGGGAGAAAACCTTTCATTCTACTACTTTTCAGGGCTATTTTCATTCTTACATATTAATGTTGCCCTCATGCAGACATTTAAAAATTACTTGCAATCACAGCTCGTGTATAACTTCACATTCTATCTTTCCTCTTATATCATAAGCATTTCCATGGTGTTGCATAGTCATTATAAAGATAATTTTAATTGATGCATGATATTTCATTGGATGACCATACTGTAATTTAATGAACCATTCTACTACACCAAACATTTAGGTTCTTACTTTCCCCCTAAACACCACAGTGATAAACATTGCAGTTTTTCTTTCTTTTGGATTATTTAACATAAATCTTTAGGAATGACATTACTAGGTCAAAAGATAAAACCATTTTTAAGGCTTTTTATTCATTCTAACAATTTGCTTTCCAATTTACACCACTACCAGCAATGGCAGTGTTGAGAGTTTCACAGTACTCGTTACCCTTATCATTTTAAATATGTATCGCTAATTTAAGAGGTGAAAAAAAAACGAGACCTCATTGTTGTTTTAATTTGCATTACTTTGATTATTTGAGAGTGTGGACATTTTTTCCACATTTGTTTACCGGTGATGTTATTGTTTTTGAAAACGGTGTGTGTTCATGCTCCCTCTTTCTGAGCCCTAATGTTTCTGGCAGAGCATGAAGAGATGGAAGACTGAGTTAGAATTCTATGACTTGGAGAAAATTTAGGTTGCCAAAGTAGTGTTTTTAAATTAAATTTACATTTAATTGGTGCTTCTGATGAGTAAAGTCAAATTAAGGGAAGGAAAAGCCCAAATGTGAGGCTCCTTTGGCTGCTGCCGGAAGCTGACGGCATACAGGGCTCTTGGGGATATGTGGGTGGTGCCCATTTGTGCGCTGGGGACCACATGATTTATTCAAGTCACGACATTGCTCATCTTCAATAAAGCAAGGCAGAGAATAAATGTACAAACAGATACATTTAAATTGTTACTTTTTGCCAAGTAAAAATAACTTGTAGAAATAATAAATACAATTTCCAATTCTTTTAATTACCAAAAACAAATACACATTTTGGTTAACAAAACACACACCTTTAGCACTCATTAAAATTTGCATGTAACCATTGGTTGCTCTTAACTTCTTAGCCAGATAGAGAATGGGGCACATAGAGGAACATGGTCCCTTACTGAATTACAATGCATTAAGGATGAAACATGTGTAACATCTGTGAACGTCCGTCTCCTTATCTGTAAGATGGGGATATGGCAGCAGATGAGGAGTAAAGGGTAATGTAACATAAAAGTGCCTAGAGCATTAATAATGGACTGTATATGGTCAATAAGCTATAGGAGTGTGTGTGTGTGTGTGTGTGTGTGTGTGTGTGTGTGTGTGTGTGAAGTCAACCCCAAACATCCAGCTGCAGCCTCTATACTTCTGGATAACAACACAGGGGGTGAGAACCTCTTGGTTTGGCAGGCAGGGCTCACATCAAGCGGCCCACGAGTCTTAGCCTGGCTGAGGCTCAGTGATGACAGAGGTTGCCGACAGCCAATTAGAAATGGCTCCTTTGGAAAGGGGCTGCCCCAAGGTGCTCAGGTCAAGTGGAACAAAGAGGGGGAGAAAGTAACAAGTGCCAGAAAGTAACAAAGGGCAAAAGGGGGATTTTGGATCCAGTGGGGTTACACAGAGGACAGACACAAGAGGTTGAGTAAAGCCAAACAGTAAAAAAGAAATAAAAATAAAAAATCACTTTTTGTTTAGGAAAAATTGTGTGTGAGCGATTGGCTAAAAAAAAAAAAAAAAAAAAAAAAAAAAAGAAAAGAAAAAAAAAGAAAAAGAAATAGAGCAGTTAGGTACCATGGTAAGAAAATACTGATGAAAACTGTAAGATGATAGCTATTTAAAAAACGTATGTGGTAGTTTTTGGGAAAATGTCTTAGTTTAAGCTTATAGGTAAAAACATTGTCTTCTGGTTTTGTTTTTCACCACCTAGTTGCTGTCTGATCTTCCCAATTCACTCAATCTCTCTGCAACCTACTTCTATATTTTTACAATGGGGAGACCACCTCCTGCTTGGCAAACTTCAAAGCCACTGGGACAATGGGCTAAATGAGATGAGATGTGAGGAAGCTTTAAAAAAGGTTACAATACTGTGCAAATTGAAAGTTAAATCCTTATTCCTGCAAAAGGGAAGCACACCCTCTAAAAAGGGCTGCCCTGTGGTGAGCGCCTCCTACTGGCGGGCACTATCATACTTAAGTTTCCACAACAACCAAGAGGTAATAGGAGGATCACGCTTTTATAAGTGAGGAAACAGGGCTCAGAGAGGGCAACTTCCTGAAGGCCGCACAGCTAGAAAGAGGAAGAACCCAGAGCTATCTGATTTCTGGCACCTAAACCCTATCAACCTTAACAATAGCCAATGAAAGACTCCTGGGCTCAGGAGGTGCTCAGCTAATCATCAGCTGTGATCGCCTTCTCAGAAACCCCTTTTCCTACATGACCTTGTGCTGCCATGCCTATGATATCTGGCCACTTATTTATCTTATCCCCATAGACCGTGAACTCCTTTGGGTTTGGGTTCTCTGCCCCAGAGCCAGGAATACAGTACATGTTCTCTAATAAATCTTTGTAATGTTGAGTTGCACATTTGGAAGGCAAATGTGTCCAATACACAAAGGTGCTTGTGCATCAAAAAGTAGTGCAGCATATTAATTTTATTTAGAGGACCTGAAAGGGCAAAAGACTTCTTGCAAGTGCCAAGGCTTACCCCACCAATTTATTAATGTTGGCACGATATCTTCGATCTGGGGAAGGACAATGGCTTCCTCCCTGGACAGCAGAGTGTGGGAGGAGCCCTAGCAGTAAAGAAATAGGGCCAGCTCACATCCTCTATTGCTAGCAGAGGTTTTACACACAGTGGGGATCAAATAACAGCAAGTCCTCCTACCCAGGGTTAAAGACATTGTGGTCTAAGAGCTAACTGAGAAGCTGCCAACAGAGGGTATGGGGAAAAGGCAGTCTCAGATCCTTCTGATGGGAATACAATTTATATCAAAACCCTAAAAGAGGCGCATGTCCCTTGACCCATTAATTTAATATCTAGATATTTATCCTGATGAAATAATTAAGAATTCCTGCAAGGTTTTCTCTAAGAAGATATTTGCCTAGACAAAATTGGAACTAAAGTATCTAACAATGAGATCGATTAAATAATGTATATATGTCCCTCAGACAAAATTTTATGTACCTATTGAAAACAATGAAATGTGGAAGAAACACTAAGTGATCTGGGAAATGTTTAGCATATAGTTAAGTGAAAATGCAGGTTAAAAAGTGAGATAATTTTCTTCTTGTTTGTCTGATTTGTTGAACTTTCTTCTATCAACATGTTTTCTGTTTATAAATGGAAAAAATGCTGACCATCAAAACATCATTTCAAAGAAGGGAAACCAAGTAGCAGACAGGAGGGGCAAATCTCCCTCCTGCAGGGTAGCACAGAAGACAGTAGACAGAGCTGCAGGTCAGAGGCCACCGCAGGGTGGCACCTCTCCCAGATACATGGTCAGCATTTGATAAAGTCCTCGGACAGAGTGCCCATGAGAAGGCAGGAGGCAGGAGCCTAGAGGGGAAGGGGCTCTCTGTGGCCTTGGGTAGGAGCCCGGTATGGGCTGGACACGGAGAAAGCTCAGGCTATGACTTCACGAGGCAGAGATGTGAGTAGAGCACTCCAAGCCTACGGGAGCCAGAAGCACAGCTCCTTAAGGAGTGGGGGAGGGCAGCTGGAGCATTCCAAGAACCACCTGGTCAGGGAGGTGGGAGGTGTGAAAGCTGTGAACGGTATGAAAGGTTTTAACCAGGGGAGTGACTCAGTCATCACTGTGTTCTAGAAAGACTGCTCTGGTGGCTGTGTGGATAACCAAACGGGAGGTGATCCCATGCCAACCGTGTCCTCAGGGCATGTGCCCCCGGGAGTGTGGCAGATGGGCTGCTCCAGATGTGGGACATGGCCACTGGAGAGGATGGAAACTCCAGTTAACTGAGTGGTTACTAAGTTTTGCTGTTAAAAATCCCTTACCTCTTCTAATCCTTAGAATAATCCAGTAAAAAAAAATCTCTATTTCTCTTAGTTTATAGATGAGAGAAATTAGCTTCACAGAAGTGAGGTAAATTACTCAAGGTCACACAGTTAATATCTTTTACAACCAGCACTGAATCTAGCTTGTCTGCCCTGAGAGCCCAAATATCAGGCCACAGGTTGGGGGTTTAAAGAAGCCCAAGGTGGGGGCTTCCCATCTCTGACTCAGATTGCTGCTGGTCTCTATTTTCGGATTTGGGCGGTGCCCTTCTTTCCCAGTCTACTTCACACCACAGCAAATGCAAATTAAAATATGAGTACTGATGTCAAAACAATAGCCAAAGCTGGAATTTCTGTGATGGAGGCGGCGGTGTAATGTGTCTGGAGACCAGGAGCTGACAGTTGTGTGTTAAGGTGTGAAAACATCTGTCCTACAAGAATCTACCTGATCTCCCTGCACCTCCACCCCTACCCTCCACTCGCCCCATGCTTACTCACTCCCTTCAATACACTAGGGAACATTTGGCCAGAGTCTCAAGCCTTTGCTAACCCAATGGTGAGTCTGCTCCTTTTAATCAAAGAAACTAAATTAACAAGCTTGATGAATCTTTTGAAGATTTAGAAAGATCAAAGATTTAGAAACTTTAAAAGGGGCCATGAAATGGGCCCACTTGATGAAATCATTTTGATACTGAAGAAAAAAGATCATTATTCAGGGATTCCACAATAGGCAAAAAAGAGAGAGAGAGAAAAAAATGGAGACCTTACTGCCCCTGCAGGTAAGGAGATGCCAGCCTGCGGGGGTGCTGGGACTGGATGCAATCTGCTGACAATCACGAGCCCCACCAGGTGGCCTCCTTATCCAGGTTGGGAAGGATGCTGGCGTGTGGGGTGTGGGAAGTGTTCTATTCTCCCTTTAGGAAGCAATGCCTGGGTAGCTTCTTTGCCATTTCTCTTCTTCCTAATTTTGAGCAAGTCAGACTTCAAAGGAGGCTGAGCTGTAGAAGAACTTGACTGCCTTGCTCCATTCATCCAGAGAAATATGTTATCCATCCTCCTTTTTTTTGTTGTTGGGCTGAAGCAGAGCAGGTGTGAATAAAGCCACGCTACAGTATCTATGACAATTATTTGCCAGTGGTCACACAGATACCCTGAAAGCTCCTGCTTCAGATGCTTTGAAAATCGACAGCACAAATGAACAAGGGATGGAGAAGGGGCCCTGCTCCGTCATATTAGAGATGGACCCTTCACATACCACGGTGACCTCTCCGCAGGTCGGCCCCACGTTTTCTATTTGCAATTCAAACCCAAGGCGAGAGCGCAGAGGGCAAGACTGGGTTCTTGATTATATCTGCGAGGTCACCATTGCTATGCAGCTGGAGGAGGCCAGGTGGCAATCCAGTACATTTGAAAATTGGATCTTTGTTGGGAACTGCCTCCATTTCATAGCGGAAACCAAACTTGATGTGTCTGCATTAGACGTGTGTGAGAGCCACATAAATATGTTGCCATTTCAGGGTGGTGGGGGGCGAGAGGGAGGGGAACAAGAAATATTTTCTACAGCAGCGAGGGGGTCAGAGGGAGCCAAATCCGACATTAGCTCGAGAAAGGAAGCTGAGAGCTCCGCAGAAGACCAGGTCCTGTCTGCACTGAACAATGCTAGTTTCAATGACAAAAGAGCTCCTCCAAGCACCACGGCGAAGTATCAGGTCTGGAGAGAGCTGTAAGACGGAAGGGGGAAAGTGAAAATTGAAAAGGGTGCACTAATGGATCTGTCAACAGTCCGATGGTGACAACCACGTTTCTATAAAATGCCTTCACCATCTGTGTCACCTGAAATGTACTGACACTCTATAGAGCACTACCTCCTGAAGCTATTCTTGAAAAGGCTGGCAGGGGGAAGAGGAGAAGGAGGAGAAAGTCTGCTTCAGATACCATCAAGGAAAGAAAGGACAGGGGGGTGGCAGGGAAGGAGAGCGATCTAGATGGTTTAAGCAAAACTTTAAACAACAGCATCAAAACCTGAGCTTAATTAGCTATTTGCAGAAATGCTATGGATCATGAGAAGGGGGTTTTCTCTATGCTCACATGTACATGGGGGGAAGCAATGGCCTGAGGGGCGCAGATCTGACCAGCGAGGCCCATCAGAGGAGGGGCCCCTTCCTTTGCTTACTTTCAGTAATGTTCTAACAGAGCTAGGGCCTGGGCTTTAGTCATTAGGAGGGGAATCTGGTGCGAGTTCCCCCCGCCCTGACACTCCATTTCATACTTGCAACCCAGTTCAGTTACATGCTGCAGGGACAGGAGATAAAAAGTTATATTCAGGTACTTAAGTAACATCCGAGTAAAGAATCTGACCTGCCAGTCTCTGGTGTACTCTGGCAGGGTACACCAGACCATGGTTAAGGTCTACCTGGATTTACATGACAGGATTTTTATTTCTGGACTTGAATCTTAGCTGCTAAAAATTCACAGTCAGCTGAAACTAAGAATTTAAAATGCTTAGAGCAAATTATTTTGCAATTAAAAGAAAGGAATCAATTCCTTTGACCATTTCAAGTTAATGAGAGGTCCTTTCTAACTTTGTAAAATTAAAACTGCTTTTATTTTTAAAAAACTGCTGAGATAGACAAAGGCCCTTATTAGAGTGGCACATTTGGGGTGTGTAGGATAATGATGGGAGTGACCCCAAACATCTTTTGGCAAACAAAACAATTGTTTCAGGAAGGCAGCACGAAATACTGTGTGGTGAGAGCAGAGATGCTGGATGAGATGGATCTGGAATCTAACCCTGGCTCAGCGAGGCTCCTGCTTGGGCTCCTCTGGGTAAAACCACTGTGAGGAGAGCCCGTGGCATCGTCCTCAAACCCACCCTCTGTGCCCTGTGTCTGCACGGCGGCCACGTGCATGCCAGAACCACGGCATCATTTCTCTGAAGATGCTTCTGGGTTTGGGTTACAGCCGGTCCCAGGTCGGTTGTAGGAGGGAGTGGTGCCGAAATGCGGGGACCGAGCCAATTTCTGCAGATCTGGGGGGGCCCCGAGCCCGGCGGGGTGAGGAAGGGATAGACTGACAATGGTAACTCGGAACTTGCTTGCCTTTGTGGGTTTAAGCCAGAGTCTTAATGATATTTGAAGACAGTTTTTGTCTGTGAATATTTATAACAGTGTGAGAACTCCCAGACAGCTGGTAATGCATTTTGAAGTGTGCTAACAACATCGTATCAAACAGCCTCTATTGATCACATCATACTTTTTTGTGGCCACGCGTTTCATACACGGTGCTTATACATTTTGAATAAGAACTTCAAGTACCTTTTGCTTCAAGCGGTTTTTCACCTCTTTTATTCCCATTTTTGCATGATCTTTTGCCTGCATGAAAAATTAATTTAAGTTAAGATTCCCTTTCTGTTCCCAGCAGGGACTATGCTTGATTTCAGTCCGTTGTGAATCACCTTCTCTGATTACTAGAAAAAAAAAGGAAAAATGGGATCATCAAGTTGAAAACATAATGGCTATGAAAACAAATAAAAGGTTAAAAAAAAGCCTTTAAAGAGGCTACAGAGATTTTATTTTTTGCATTTTGATGGCACCGATATCTCCCCCACCCTTTCTGCTCTCTATAATTATGCATCTCAGCAGCCTAGTGACAGCGACCAGTGAGAGTTGAGCAGCAGTGTTTCTGGCTGCAAGATTCAGATTCCATTTCACCAGGGCAGAGCCTCGGGACCAGCTTTCTGGACAGGCTGAATGGCCCGAGCGGACGCATGACTGGAACAGAACCATTTCTTACATCTCATTTCGGCAGATGCCCTGGCTTTTATTTTCTGTCACTTTAGACCTGTGTGGCTCTGTTGGCAGCCACCTCTCCATTAAAATAACTACAATGCAAGCACAGAAAGGACTAACAAAGTTAAAAATGGACATAATAGAAAACACCCTAGTTATGTAGCTCGGAGTCAAATCAGAAGCAAGAGAAATCACGAGAAACAAATACTTGAGGCTTGTAAAAGCTGCAGCATCGCGAACGGACTTTCTCCTTCCACGCTGCTGTGTGCACGAGTTTCACAAACAGTGCATTTCCTTTAGGATAGTGATGAGAGACGGTGAAGAATTTGGGAGAAAAACTAGGGGTGTCTCCCACCCACCGTGAATACTCTTCAGTAACCTGCAAAGGAGCCGCTTTATTTTGATATAATAATGGGGACACACAGGAAAGGTTTGCTAGAACATCTGAGAGACCATGCCTCAAGGTCTCAGGGATGCTGGCATGGAGCAGCCAGAATTTTAGCCACCCAGCCCACATTTTAAAAGCTAAAACCAGGAGCCTCCCATTTCTCTCTTGTGGCAACTGTAGGAATAACACTTTAAATTAAAAATATCACTTGTCTGGTTATGGCCAGTTTGCCTCAGTAGTTAGAGCGTTAGCCCATAGACCAAAAGATGGTAGGTTCAACTCCTGGTCAAGGGCAGATATTTTGGTTGCAAATTCAATCCCTGGCCCTGCTCAGGGTGCATACAGGACGCAACCAACTGATGTTTCTCTCTCTCTCTCTCTCTCTCTCTCTCTTTCTCTCTCTCTCTCTCCAAAAAAACCCCACAAAAAACAAACAAACAAACAAAAAACAATGGAAAAAATATCTTCTGGTGAGGATTGAAAAAAAAAAAAAAAAAAGAAGCCACTTGTGGCCAAGTCATAAAATATAAACATTAAATTATACTAAAAGCACTGAGAGCTTCAGGAACAGCACAGCTACAGAGTCACCTCTGTAGATAGGATCAGGTGATTGCAGAGCTGCATCCTGCTGCCCAGTCAACATGGCTCAGTGGTTGAGCACTGACCTATGAACTAGGAGGTCACAGTTTGTTTACTGGTCAGGGCACCTGGGTTGTGGGCTCAATCCCCAGAGTGGGGCATGCAGGAGGAAGCCGATCAATGATTTCTCTCAACATTGATATTTCTATTTCTCTCTTCCTATCCCTTTCTCTCTGGTATCTATCTATCTATCTATCTATCTATCTATCTATCTATCTATCTAAAAGATATATATGTGAATTGCATCATGCTAAGGAGCAGATCTGTTTGGGTCCTGAGACCAAGACCAGTACTTACAAACTTATAGACAGTCTTCATGGCTGGGTTTGCTTTCGTTTTCACAGTATTCAGAATTGCTCCACTTCCTTTCTATAATAAAAATGTCAATTAGTAATTTGCACTGAAGATGTAGTAGGCCAATACCAACAAAAACCTCTTCTCTTTAATCAAGTTAAGCAACACTTCAAGAGTGTGTAATTTAATTAGAGAAATAGGCTTAGATGGTAACTGGTCCCAGGCAATTAGTTATAGCCATGGCAGAATCACTATGGGTGCTGGTGGGGTGGGGGATGGGGCTAGTGATAATGAGCTGAGTCCCCTGAGGGGGACTCTAGGCTCAGTACTTGGCTTGGCACCTGCCCACTGGTTGGAAGGAAAGCTCATCATAGGCTCTCTGAGGTAAGGGCTTCCCCCAGTAATCTAAGGCTTTGAGATAGTCTAGTTACCAGTACAGCACTGAGGTGATTTTCATAACAATGGATTATGGCTAACACCAAGCTGGGGCAGAAAACTGGGGCCTGATTAGCCAGCACTCTCTGGCTACTCTGGAAATATGCCACCCTCAGCCATGCACCTTCCTTTGTTCACCCTGTGTTGCTTTTTAATCACTTTGGTATGCTGCCTTCCTTAACATCTATAGCTTGAGAAAGGGAAAGACTGAAGAGCCATAAATATTAATCATGGCTACTAATGGCTTTAGGAGAAATCCAGCATACTGATTTCTTGGCTAAGTTTCTTTAGGAAACCAGGGGAAGAGGAGGAGGAAACCGAGGAGGTGGAGGGGGAGGGAAGGCTTTCCCAGCACATGAAGGGGACAATGAATGGGTATGAAGCGCACAGGCCCAGGACCTGTGAGGGCTCACCGAGGGGACGCCCTGTGCTAGTCTCTGAGGGTGCTGAGCACCAGAGGGCTGGTCTCTCCCTTCAGAGATCTCCAGTCTGGGGAGGACACCAGGGTAAGCAACTTCAGCCTGAGGTGGTGAGAGCTGTGCTGACTGTGTGCACAGCAGTGTGGAGGAAGCTCATCGTTTGCAAGGTCAGAGAAGGTTTTAGAGAAACATTAGGCCTGGCCCGTGAAGGATGAGCAGGAGTTCAGGTGGGGATAGGAAGGGTAAGAACATCCTAGGGGTAGGAAATAGCACAAGCACAAGGGCAGAAGCAGACAGGCCAGGGTGCCTGTGAGTGACAAGTGCTCCATGTATCATGGGAGAGATGGCGAGTAGGGGCCAGATGGGGTCAGCTTTCAAAGGCCAGGATCAGAAGTCTACACTCTAGACAATTTTTAATAAAATGCATCAAAAAATCAGATTGGTGGCGGTTCAGAAAGACTATTCCAACAGACTCGAATAGAGAGAGAGAGAGAGAGAGAGAGAGAGAGAGAGAGAGAGAGAGAGAGAGAGACAGGACCCAGTGAATATATGAAAGAATAAGATGTAGTAATGTAGTTAATGGGATTAACTTTTAGCACAATTTTTGGGGACTGTCCATATTAGAAACTTTGCACTTTAATTAAAAACATTACAGTTTGACCTAGAAAGCATTCTATGTTGCAGGACAATATGAAATTTTCACCTACTCATTTATTCCACACTGCTTTCCAAAATTACTCAGTATTCAGTTTCAATGGTCCTTTGGAATAGTAAAACTCTCTTTATCAATCCATCAACAAGTCCTTATTGCTCATCTACGATTTGCCAAGTGCCATGTTTGGCCATCCCAGAAGAACAAAGGAAGTCTTTCACTGAGGAGCTGCTTACTCTCGGCCAACGGCAGCCACTTCCAAAGGGCCCGCTTTGGCAGCAGCACACTTGGCCCACAAGCAGGGAGAACACTTATCACATTATGTCGGAGCTGCCTGTTTACGTGCCTGCCTCCTGAACAAGAGGGGAGCTCCCCCGAGCAGGGCCTGTGTCTGCTCTCCACTGTATCCTCGTCCCCTGCGTGGTGCCTGGCACACAGGCCTGCAGTCCACACTCACTTATAAAGCCACGTAAGAGAAAGGCAAGACTTAGAATTCGTCAGTGGCTTCTGAAGCCCCATGCTCCTGGCTTCTAACGCAATGAGACACTGCTCACAGGACACTGAGGGATGCAAAGGTCTCTCAGTGATGGGGTCTCCACCTGCCTAGGAGCCTTGGCTCTGAAACACAGTGCAGAGCAGCAAGAGGCATGCGTTTTTGGCTTCCCCATGACAATTTCCCACTTGTACTGGCCCTGGAAGGAGATACCCAGAAATGCTCTAAGATGACGACATCCACATGACACGCCTTGGCCTGCATCCTGGGCTGGAGGCTTCTCCTGGCTCTCCTCACTAGGATGACTTTGGATGGTCTCATCCTGCCAGCTCCACCTGGCTTTACAAACAAAAGCTTCTACAGCTGACAGAATGGAGTGCCCCAGGCCGAATGACAGCCTCCTGGGTGGCGGGAAGAACAGGGCTGCCAGGAGGCTGAGGGAGGGCCCAGGTGCCTGGAAGGGGAGCACACTTACCCTGACCGTGGAGAGCCACTGGTGGTACAGTCTGTCGCTGCCTGGGGAAAGAGGAGTCAGAGAGCTGTCATTTAAGGCGGTGATGTGTGCTCAGGAGTTTCCCTAGGCGCTTTCACCATGCAGGCCTGGGAAAGTACAAAATACGGAGAACATGCAGGCTCCCAGGCCCCACTCCCTGAAGGAAGCAGTGGCTCGTTGCTGACTCTGAGTTTAGGATGGCCAGCTGGATGATCAGCATAGTCCAGACCAGACACGTGCCCAGCAATTAGAGGAGGCCAGCAGCATGATTATTATCATTTTGCTTTTAGTTTCTACTCTGGTGCCAAAGACAGAGGCTTGGGACTTGGAAAACATGCCAGATGGGGTTTCAGGAGACAGGGTCAGCCATGAACACCCCTTGGGGCCTGGCCACTGGGCGTTAGAGGCCCCCTCTGAGACAGGAGAGGACGAGCCCTCCGTTCTAAAGGCATGCAGAGGCCAGGCACCGCGATGATTTTCACACTTTAAAGAACATTGGCTGAGCGGGTCCTGTGCCCTGGCCTGTCCCGAGGGACTGTACACAGCGTCCCTCGTGGACTCTGATTTAGTTGTAGCAGGAGTCCTGTGAGGCAGGCACGGTCACTCTCAGCGCAGAGATGGAAACATTCAGCTGAAAGAGGCGACATGACTCGGCCAGGTTACTGCCGCAGTAAGGGGCAGAGTCCTGATCTGAATCTAGGTCTCCTAACATGGCACCTCATGTGTTTTCCATGGCACCATGCTGGCCCTGGCACGGAGGACCGCAGAAGGGCCAATGTGCACCTCATCAGAAGGGAAGAGCAACTCCTCAAGCACTTCGAGGCCAGAGTTGAAATCAGTTCCTCCATAACCCCCAGGGACGGAAACAAGAAGTCACTGCCACTCCTTGCTGAACACGCCCCACTCCCACGCCCAGCCCGCAGAACAGGAAGAAAATAAAACGCTTCTCACCAGCATATTCGCCCATGTTGATCTCCTCTTCAAAAACATCACTGAAACCTTCGCCGGAATTGAGAAGGTCTAATCTACCATCGATAAACTAAGAAGGAAAGAAAGAACAGAACTGTGCACACGGGAACTGGGAGCAGCAGCACTCAGCGGGCACCCAGCGCATGGCCAAGGAACCGCCACCCAGCCAAGTCAGGAAGGACCTTAGGAACTGTGCGGTTCAAAGAAGCGAGTTTCCAAACTCTGGCTGCGGGCTCTGATAACCTGAAAAACCGCATGGCCTGTCTGCCAGGGCCTGCCTGTTGCTGAGCCCCATCCTCACCCAGTCCCCGTCCCCAGACCCTCTTTAGCTGTGGGAGTCCCGCCCATGCCTGCAGCCTCAGTGCTCAGTGAGGACAGCTGCAGAACCCATCCCCCCCAACCCTCTCACCCCGCCCTGTCCCCCCAGGAATCCAGACGCAGGCCAAGCTAGGGAGGCCAGGCACCTGCTTGAAGAGCTGCAGCTGGGTGGCATTCTGCAGGAACTGCCTCATGGCTCCAGAGCGATAGTGGGACACGAAGTCCTCCTCACAGAAGGTGATTGGCTCGCCCTGGAAAACGAAGGGGAGAGCATGGTTAGAGGAAGCGGGTGTGGGGTCAGCTGGGTGTGGGGTCAGCTCTTAAACTCAGCTGGGCGGTGCTTCTACATCTGCTAATTAGAGTAATTAGATCCTCATCTTCTTGGTGAAGTGGCTGTTATCATTGATCGCATTCTCATCTCTGGATGAGAAGACTGTCAGGGAGGAAGTCATTGCCCAAAGTCACAGAGCCGGTAGGCGGTAGGCGGCAGAGTGCGAACCAAAGGCTGGGTTCCACCCTCACCCCCACCCCCACCCCCACCCCCACCTCTTGCATATCCCAACAGCAAGTCAGTGGATGGACCCTCCAATGCGGTGATTTCCAAACTTTTCACTTTTAGAAGCCTGACCTTCAGACAGTGCCTGAAGCAGAAGGAGCCCTGCTACATAAAACAGCCTGCTGCTCTGGTGCTGGCTGGGCTCTCCTGGCTTGGAAGTCTCCCCTCCTCACCCCATCCCCACTCCCTGCACCTTACAGTCCCGAAGCCATCAGTTGTGGAACACCCTTTGAAAACCATTTGCCCAGTGATCTTAACCAACAGCAAATGATCATTTAAAAATAATTATTTCTATGAAAAGCAGGGATGATTAAAAAGAAAATGTACCATCCAGTCAATTTTGTGCATATGCTGTTTGATAAGGAAGTTTGCTTTTACCAAACTACATTTTATGAGTCAAGAAAATGACACCCTAAGCTTCACAAACATCCCATCTTGTAGTCAACACCCCAGTCCTTCTTTGAAGGATCCGGAGTGCTCATTCACACAGAGAATGCTCTAGTTTTAACGGGGTATTCTTAATTCTGAAAGATCAGACTTTTATATCTTGAACTGACTTAAAGGTACCCCTCGCTTCACAGACTTGGCGGCAAACAGAGATGTTTGAAGCTCCACTTTTATCCTGTTTTAATGAGTTACCTAAGTGTTAAATTTACTGTCTAGCTGTTATAAATTCCAGGAGTTCCTCCTGCTTCAATCCAGCCAATATTAGTTCAGTAACTGGGCAGACTTGTTGCACATGGGCTGCAAGGATGGCCCAAAAAAGGTAGGGTGAGGGGAATATTTATTTTTAACAATTACACCCCTAATTTTACAAAGGATATGAAGCAGCTTACATGAGCACACAAAACAAAAGAAAAAGAAAAAAAAAGCAGAGTTGGAAAAGACAAATATATAACATGTAATTATTTGAGAAAAGAGTATAGGATTTCTAAAATTAAGTTATAAAATCAGCTCTGAGCTTCCTGGTTGTTGAAGCAAAAAGGGAAACAATGAAAATCTTACATTGCCTATGAGAAAAAAGCCTATCAATTCCTCAGTGGAAGACAGAGTTTTCATGCAATTTATTACTAGTGCGGCTTTACACCATCCTTGTGAGGAATCAGGTGCTGATAACTAGCTAGCCCTGTGGAAGGGGCCTGTGTGCTGTGGCCTGAGGTTCTGCTTCTCACCATTGGGACCGGAGCAGGGCAATGACTTCTCTCTCTAGGTGATCTCCATCAGCACCGTGGAGCTCACACGCTAAAAGATTCCTAATAAATACCATCAGTTCTGACATCTTTTTGAGTTCCAAAGCTATGTCACCATTCCCACCTGGATGGCCCACTAGCATTTTAAACTCAAAATGGCCCAACCCCCTAATTATTACTCCATTTGGATTGCTCTCCAAATCTATCTACCTTTCTTTCTCTCTCTTTCTCTCTTTCTTTCCCCTTCCTCCTTCCTTCCTTCCTTCCTTCCTTCCTGCCTGCCTGCCTGCCTGCCTGCCTGCCTTCCTTCCATCATTATCAATACCTACCTACAGTAGACCTATCAGACCTCCTATTCCTTCCCATTTACCAGTGAAATCTCTCAGATTTGTCCCTGCTCTCCATCCTATTACTGGCACTGAGCTGCGGAGGTTTAACTCCATGCCTCTTGCCTGTGTCATTCCTCCCAGTGCCTCCGATTCTTCAGGCAGAAGTGACTTTAAAATGAAGATTGCGGTCGTGTCACTGTCCTAGTCAAGAATTTTGCAGAGACGTTACATTCGATCGTTTGATTAATATCGGCTTCTTCCACTTAGGCTATACATGTGCAGGAGGGGTACCTGCTTTGCTGAACATTATACATCTGGTGACACTTGTGTCACATACATGGGTCCTGGTAGGAGAGGAAAGGAAAGTCTTAACTCCTTAGCTGGGCAAACCTTTTCTGAGCAGACCCTCACTTACTTTTCCAGAGTCCTTCTGTGTCCCTTTCCGCAGCCCCCCAAATACCTTATGCTCCAAACGCACCTCCTAATCACAGGTCTTGTCCTTTCCCACTTGCTTCCTTGCTTTTTCCAGTTTTATTCCTTCCACATGGACTAACCTTCTCATAAGTCCAGGTCTTTTTGCTACAGCCACTCACTCCTGCTTGGTGCTCCCACAGTGCCTCGTGCACCCCTGGGGGCTGGGTAATCTGCACCGGCATCCCCTGTGACCAGGAGCTGGAGAGGGCATAGGCCCTGCTGGATTCATCTCTACACGCCCTGGGGACAGTGCTGTGCCCCGCCCCCGTTGGAAGCCCAGGGACGGGATTAAAGAACCACAGAATGAGCTGGACTTTGGTTCCCATCACAGGAGCCCTGCGGTCTCTGTGGGGCAGAGCCACCACTCGCCGGACACGTAAAAAGGACTCAAAGCACAATGCCAGGTGGATGACAATTGTGTCCAGGGAGTTGAGAGCTGCTCGGGGAAATGCTTGTTGAGTTGTTAGCATTCACAGTTTGGGCTCAGCATTGCCAGGAAGGAGAAGTCTACTGAGGGATCAATAAATGCAAGAGTTCGCAGCTGGATCTGTAGGTGAGGGTAGCCCGAGGCAGGATTTAGCTACAGGAGAACAAGAATCTCATCCCTAAGGGGACACAAACATTTTGGGCCTGTTGTCTTCTTACTGGAGGTGACACTTCCCTGGATCAGATGTCTGCGTCATAACAACAGACCAAAGGACATGGGCACAGTGGGGAAGATTCGGGGGAAATGTGACACTGGGGACTTTTTCTGCAAAGAGCCTGAAGAACAGCATTACCTGTGTCAATTGATGTGGAGATAAATACTAGCACCCAGAATAGTGCTCTTGGGGTGTGTGTGGAGGCATGACAGGTCCATAGGAGTCAGAAGGGGGAAAGGCTAATCTTCCCAGGGCTGCAGGGCAGGAAATGTGACTGTGGGCACAGATAGTGGAGCCTGGAAGGGTGAACAGGAATTGGGTGGGCATGCTCCACCCATGGAGGGCGCTGTCCTAACCCTGCTGAGAGGCAGGGACACGGCACCAGGGTCCTGCATAAAGGTCTGCTCTGTCCCCTGAAGTTAACCTTCTATTTTCCCCTCCACCCTGACATATTGTTTTTGATTTCAGAGAGGAAGGGAGAGCGAGAGATAGAAACATCAATGATGAGAATCATTGATTGGCTGCCTCCCGCACACTTGCTACTGGGAATCAAGCTCACAACGTAGGCATGTGCCCTTGACCAGAATCTAACCCGAGACCCTTCAGTTCACAGGCCGATGCTCTATCCACTGAGCCAAACCAGCTAGGGCTGGAGTAGCTGCCTAAGAAAGTGACAATTATTAACATTTCACCTAATCCTTACAGAATAACTGAGGCAAGGCAACTTGCCCAAGACCACATATCCTGTAAATGGCAGAAATCGGGCTTTGTGCCCTAGTGGCTTCTGAAGCCCAGGTGCCGCCATCACCCATATAGCCCACTTCTCTGACCTTAGTTCCAACTGTTTGCACTCGGGCACCTGCTGGAGAGCAGGAGAGGTCTTCTCAAAGGTGGAACCCCTCAGGTTCCCCTGCTGAACCCTCAAAGCACCAGCCACTCAGAGACAAGCGGCTCCTGGGAGCAGGTGAGCAGGTGTGAAGGATCTCACTGCCACAGGCCCCAGGATGCCAAGTCCCTCCCACCAGCTTGTCCAGCTGCTTCCTGCAGCTGAACTGAGTCCTCCCACCCCCATCCCCAGCCCTCTCTCTGCAGTGGGAGAAAGGCAAGGTGTCTTGCTAATTCCCTCTTTTGTAAGAAGTGTGGATTAAGTTCTCCTGTTAGGCTGATTAAACCTTTTGTCTCCTTAGGCGACACTCTAGGAGCTGGGGCCCCTGGCTGATAGTGACATTAATCCAGGGAAGCCAGGTGAGAGCAATCAAACTTAGATGAATTAGAGTTTTCCATGTATGACCCGCAGGGCAGTCAAACACAGCAGCTTAACCCTATCAGGAACTTTGTCGGTCACAGAATGCTAAGTTTACTCTCAGATCACCCTCTTGACATATGAGACAGTAGAAAATCCCATTATTAATGAGTCAATCTTGTAGTTTCTGGAAACATCAAAAAATCTTTGGAATTGCCAACTTCCCGTTAACAGTGGCCTAGTGCCCTCTGAAGCCCAGATGCTGCCATCACCCAAATGGGCACTAGGGCACTGTTAACAGGTGAAGTTGGCAATTCCAAAGATTTTTTGATGTTTCCATAAATAAATGGATTTTACCCACAGCATTGTAGCTACTGGCATAAAAATAAAATCTCCCATCAGATTCTTCAGCAACTTTTCTTGTTCTGCTAATCCATATAAGGTATTAAATTCTTATTTTCTCCCATAAATTTAATTTTTATCAAAATTTTATGCGACTTACTAGTACTCTGAGCCTAAGGAAAAAAAGGTGTTCTCTCTTTGTGGGTCTTGTTTAAAATAAATTTTAAAAAAGCCGAATTCATCCATCCAAACATTTAAGAAACACCTACTATGTGCCAGGCTCTATGTTAGGAGAATATAAAGATGAACACAATAAAGTTCCTCTGAGTAATATTAATAATCCAGTGTGGGTTGGTTGCGGATGAGGGTATAGATGACAGAACAGCAGAGCGTTATGTTGACAGCAGTATTACTCACAATAGCCAAAAGATGGAAGTGACCCAAGTTTCACAGATGGATAAACAAAATATACATAC